AGCCCATCGGCTACCACTTCGAGAGCTATTTGCACTCCCAGGGAGCGATTGGTAAAAGTGCCGCAGTGGACAGCCAATGACGTGGCGAATGATCATGAAGAAGGCAACCTCAAGTTTGGCGGCAGTCGGACCAGTCCGTCTTCCAGGTTGGGGACCACGAGATGCGGAATCTCAGTGGTTTTAAACATTGGACGTCATGATCCGCCACAGACATCAGTGGTGTCAATGTTGCTCTACCATTATATCCCACCTTTAAAACACAAACGAACTCACAAAACAAAAACAAGAATTCAAAGTGGCGTGTATAAAACCAAAAAAATCTTTTTCCATTTTTTAAATCGCAGTTCGTGTTTCTATCTTCTTCACTTTTCCCTTCTGCCATGGTTCTGATGGCAAAATGTCAGTTAACGGACTATCTATCTATCTATCTATCTATCTATCTATCTATCTATCTATCTATCTATCTATCTATCTATCTATCTACTATATATATATATATATATATATATATATATATATATATATATATATATATATATATATATATATATATATATATATATATATATGCTGACGATATCATCGTCATATGTGATAGCTCACAAACGTTCGAGCTGGCACTGGAGAGATTAGAACTGGCTGTCAATTGTTTTAGGCCATACTTTGCATTCTCAAAATGCAAAGCTTTCCTCCAAGGTTGGCAAGGACCGGCTCCTGTACTGGTCATCAGCTAGAAGTCGCTCAAAAATTCGACAGCCCATGCAGTTGTGTCAGCGCCGTTGGAATTGAAGACGAGAGCACAAACCGAATAGCAGAATCTCGAGACGACTTTGCTATCTATGGCGCCGGCTCGATATCACTCTTTACCTGCAGTGTAGAGTGTTCATTGTAGCCGTACGTTTGACCCTGCTGCACGGTTGTGAAATGTGCCCCATTAGATCAACCGACATAAAGTGCATAACTACCTTCGACTACCGGTGCCTTCGGATCTTGGCTCATACCTGGTGGGAACACCGTGTGCGGGATGAGTGTGCTCGACTCTTTCTTTATTGCATAAAAAGAAGTGCAACGCTCAGTACCAATATATCACGCACCAGGTTCTGATGACTGGGCCACGTGTTGCCCATGCAAGCCCTCCGACTCCCGCGAGGTGTGTTGTTTGCTCGCCGGGGGTGGGGATGGAAGAAGAAGAGGGGTGCTTAAGCGATGGCTGGCTCAAGTGGAATGAAGACCCTTGTTTCGAAGGTGGCCTCGGTTGTAGCCTCTCGGTACATTGACTGGGGTCCGAGCGACTGGACACTTGTTGACATGGCTAGGAGCCGGCCTCAGGGACGTTTGTGTCGTGCGTTTCTTGTCCTTCCCTCTCCCACTTAGCCTCTCCCTCCAACCACGATCTCATTTAATAGGCATAAAGTAATTTTGTTGCACAATACTCAGCTGTTAACTCTCCAGAATGATGTCCATCTGTCGCTGATGACTCAATCGGCTTGTTTCAGTTGCATGATTTTTTTCCTCGTTTTTTGTATAGTGGCACAATAGCTGAGGTGTTTCCCACTTCTAGCCAATGTGTATAATAATAATCTAATAACTTCTCAGCTGGACTACCGATTGCAATCCACACGCCATAAATCAGACATGCTGCGAGTTAGACAGCGCGAAATTGCCAGCCTAACCAGGCGCTCTTCATTTTTACTGTTGAACACAGTCATCCGGGACATCTCCATTTCCATTGGATGCTGCTTGGTGTGCCCCCTCCTCACAAATCTTCCTATCGGAGCGGAGGTGCGAAGCGCAATCTAGCCTTTTGAAAGTTATAAAGTTTTTGGCAATGACAGCCTCATACGGCCTTATTCAAGGATGACGTGAATGTACTGATCAACGAAATGCCCTAGCTGTACAGAAACGACGTGGTTGCAAATTCATGGGAAGGGTCGGTGTCGCTGTTTCAAGTGAAGTCTCTTAACGGTTTACATGGATTTGCCTTGCTTTCATCAGGCTAAGATACCCATGATATCGTCGCGATGTCAGCAAGGTATACAATGCCTATTTCTGCAATATCCTGTTGTTCGGTTGTGAGACCTTGATTGTTCCCTCGGAAGACACGAATCGATTCTCAGATCTTGACAACCATTGTTTGTGAAGGTTTGCTTCTGGGCCTTGTTTCCGAAACGTTGTTCTCCAGGACCGTATCCATCGACGTGGCCACATGTTGCGTATGTCAGCCTATCGTTTTTCCTGTCAGGCTTTATTTGCGCTCCTCCGTAGCTACCGCGAAAACTGCTGCGATGGACTACAAATGACAAAATAAAGCATGAAGTAAGCAACCTTAGCACCAGTTGGAGCGACTCGCCTGTGAACCACGTGACGCGGTCTATGATTAGTTTAAACACTTGAATATTATAACCAAACAGCTGAAATAAGCGGCAAGTGTTGCCTTGCCGTTTCATTCACTGTCTACCGTTCAACCGAACAACCAAAAAGTACTCAAAATCTCGTGCTTGAGACGCAAAAATCAGTTTTACTTGTAATCTACTATTTCATTTTTACCATGGTTCTGGTGGAATGTTCTCTATACAAAGGTTGGTGACCTCCGTTTCCGGATTTGCTTGTCTTTGAGAGTGCGAACAGTCAGATGACCCCTCTGGCTACCGAGGGACCATGGGTGGCTTGCGCTGCACTACCTACAGCCTACCCCTTGTCCGGGGTAAACCCGAAGGAGTAAGACTGGGAGACATGTAAATGCGAACCCCGATTGATTTGGGACGAGCCCATACTCCTTCAACTTACACATCATTCATACATTTGAACAAGGGGAAACGTGTATACCAGAGGTAAACGTGATGGTGATGGTTGGTAGCCCGTTCGACACGGTCTTGCACCATTCTTTGTTTGAGCTTAGCGCTGTGGTGAAGACTGCATACCATTTCCCTTAGCATCGATCAGCAGTCTACTGGAACCATTAATCAAGATGAGGGTTTTTGACAGGTAGGTACCCTGCTAACATTCACATTCAACAGCCGCATCGTGAATATAAATAGAAAATACTAAGGTACGAAAAAAAACGCGAAGGCGCACGTACAGAACAGCTGCAGCAACGTTGCAACATGCGTGCCGCAATTTTGGCCTGGCTTTGTAACTGGAGTCGCAATCAGTGCTGATATTTACATGTAAAATCTCGTCGCCTCTTCGTTATTAGCTTCTTATGACCACATTGATGGCTTACAAGACCAGCTTGGCTGAGGCCCACACGGCTGGGTGTGCTACAGCACCATGTGCTTGATATCGATGGGCCAGGTTCCATCGGCGTCCATTAATTCTGTACCTGGCGTTTTTCTCCTTGACGCAGTCCTTTCTGATGTACCTGAGCAACGGCATTCTTTATTTGGTCAGGTTATTGGTGGTGCTTCACTGCCATTTATAAGGGAGTTTGACCTTTCACTCTGCTCTCTGTGTGCGGCTCCTGTCCAACCTAGCCGGAGGAAAACCAGAAATATTGATGGTACTATTTATAAGTCCGATGCGCGCTATCACAATGACGTTGTGGCCGTAACCTCCTGCCCCCATACGTCAAGTTTCTCCGATGTCCATCGTTTGGCGTCCTGGCCAACACGTAGTCCTACCCACGCCAGTGGGATCATTGACGCAGTTCTCATGCTTTGATGTCTCCGGCAATTTGGAAATTTGGCATCCGTCCTTCAACCTCTCCAGCTGCTTGAGACAAGGTTGACCGCTGTCATTTTTCCTTTTTTAACTAAGCCATCGACGAACCTATGAACACTGCATCCACTGGACTCGATTTGGAAGGTATAGAGCTGCTTCCAAGTAGTAGACTTCTTTCCTTGGACTATGCTGACAATGTTGCCCTAATTTGTGACACCTCACCTATGTGTTATTCAGCACTGGACAATTTAGCGTTGACTGCCAACCATTTTAGGCTCTGCTTTGCATCGTCTAAGTGCAAAGTTTTCCTCCAGGATTGCCAGGAACCCACTAGAAGTCGTTCATAAATCCGATTAACTTGGCAGCTGTATTAGTGCCAGTGGAATGGCAACTGAGATCAGCAACCGTATAGCTAAAGATCGAGGTGCCTTTGTCAACCTTCACCACTTTTGGCACCAATAAGATATCACTCTCGCTCTGAAGGGTAGGGTTTATAGTGCAGCCGTACTTTCGACTCTACTGTACGATTGTGAAGTCTAGCCCATCAGATCGACAGCCATATAAAAGCTAGTTACGTTTGATTCTCGCTACCTTCGCAGGTTAGTTCACATCTAGTTGGAACACCGTGTGAGCAGTGAGCCTGCTCAGCGTCCAATTTATGGCGTAGGAAGAGGACGTGAACCGCCCAGTACTCTTATTCTGCACACCTAGCCTTCATGACTTGACCAATTGTTGCGCATCCCAGAACAATGAGTCCCACAACTTGTGTTGTTTGCGCGGCCGAGGTGTGGGTAGAAGAGTAGGCCATGCAGTGACTTGGTCAAGAGTAGTGAAGGCCCTCACTTCGAAGTGGGCATTGGTTGATGTCGTTTTGTGCCTCTCGGCTCCCTGCTTGTGGTCCGAAAGACGATGAACACGTTTTACTGGATACACTTGTTGATATAGCAAGGAACCGATCTTAGTGGCGTTTGTGTCGTGAGCTCTATCCTACCCCATCTCGCTTAGCTCTCCTCCAATCACGACCTTCGTTGGTGCACGATATAAAACGAAGCCTGCTGATACTTTGATTTGTTTTGCTGTTTCTTTTTTACTGCCATTCGATTGACTTGTATTGCGTCACAGTAGCAGAGTTGTTTCTCATTTCTAGCTAATATGTCAGATGATGGTGATGATGTACTTTTCCTAATGCTCTCATCCGAGCATTTTCACGCAGTGGCACCCACGATGTTATGAGCAACTTTTTCCACACTGCTGTATCATACTTTATCAAGACTCATCACTTTTTCACCTTTTCTTTCCTCGCCTGGCTTCCGGCAAATGTTTTGTTGACGTACTTTTAGTTTCTTGCTTTGCAGACTCCTATGCAAACTGATCCGTACTGGTGCAATGTGTGTGACGTGACGTTCACGAATGAGAAGGTGGTTTGTTTCTCCCACATTTATTTTATACTTCTTAATCATAGGCTAGTTACGAACATGACATATCACTCGCCCATCATCAGCGATACGAAGAGTCTCAAAAGGCTTGCGGTGGTCCAGTGTAAGTCATCCACTTCTTTTTAATGCCCTATTAGTCAGCATTTTTGCTCTATTTGCGACATTGGGTTCATTTCCAGTTTGAGGCATTGGGAGCAGCACTCTTCCGGAAAACGACACCGCATCAGATTAAAAGAATTTCATCAGTTCTACTCGGGGCGCCTGTGAGTCTTGAATTTTTCGGAAGCCTGAGAGTGTTCTATCGTTTCTTTCCATTCTCACTCTACTAACCATGCTGTACATCACAAATATTCAAGGTTCAGTTACTCCTCAACTGCCATTATCGCTGCTTGTCAGATAGTTTATGCGTTTTACACGGTTCCTAACCGTTTTTTGTCCAAAATGGATCGCCCGCTCCTGGCTCAACCGTTGTAATTGAATGTTATTACTTTAAGTAGGACAATAGCATGCCAATCTACTCATAGTTGCAAGGTGCAGGTTGCAAACCGTTTGCTTTGTCCAAACTGAATCGCATTTGCTTCTGGCGCAACCGTTGTAATTGAATATTGTTACTTTATCTGACAAAATACCATGCCAGTATATTCCTAATTGCAAGATGCAGGTACTGTGTACACATCTCTCATCCTACACGCTTCCACTCTCCATACGTTGACATTTTACCAAAACCTGGTGAAGTGTCGCGGTTATGGCCATTGTACTCAGAGCACCGGCCATTTGGGCCACCCACGAAGTTTTGTTACTACTACGCTACCTATTCTGTATACGTTGTCTATCGTCTCAGTGCCACACAATGGTACTGCAGCACTGGTTTTCAGCACAAACGTTCACATCGTGTCACATGACGGCCACCGAATTCTTCGATGACCTGGACGCAAATTGACGATACTATCAACATTTACAGATGATTCAGCGTGACTGAACCTTAATGTGGCGCAATAGTTTGCGTACCTCTTCGACCCCTTGAGTTATACTGGGTGGTGCCCCCTTGCTCCTTGAGAGCTACTCCCACCAGGTTGGTCACTGGTTAGAGGACAGAGAAACACTGTCTCCTGGATCTCCATGTTGGGGTTTAAACTGGGATAGTGTCCATTTATGCAAAACCGAATTGTTGCCACTGGCTTTTAAGCCAAAAGCTTTGGTTGAGGGTCCTAACCATTCTCCTATCTAGGTTTAAGTGCTCTGGCAATGTCTCAGCCCACGTCCAACCATAACTATTTTATCGCACCTTAACCATAACCTGCAACGGTCGTCGCGCAGATTATCAAGGGTCGCCTTATCCGCTGCATACAGCAGCTCGGATGAGCGAAAACATGCTACTTCTGATACCTTCCTTTTCCATCTGTTTTTCTTACTATCTTCCAACCCCAATTACTAACCTTCCTTCCTTAATGTTAGCTTAATTGACATGAACCACAATGTCACTGCAATTCTGTCATCTGCAGCTATCTATGCGCACCACGCACTGGACGATTATCAGCAACAGCGCCATTAAATTCACACTGTCCCGTTTCCCTGGCGTCATTCACCGTTCGCACCGTTAGACAAATATGTCAACCGGCTGTATCCGCACCCACGCACGTTGGGCACCATGGGTATGGATGTATGTTACTTATCCGAAAGTAACACTGTTAGGGGACGCAGACCCTAACGACATCAGTCATATAGAATGTTCAGCATTCCGGCTCGATGCTGATTCGCTTGTTTAATGATCGTGATCTTGGTCCAACCAGTGACAGTTTTCCACATTTTTAGTTTCAAGCTCATTGTGTAGGAATACTTTATAAACCATTGCAATCGTTTCCTGTATAACCCGTTTAGTTTTCACGCAAGAGAATGTTGATGTCTTTCGACTTCTGCTTTGGGTCGAAGGTTTTGGCTTTGAGGTCGGCCCATTCGCGATGCATAGAAGGCCACAACAAAAACCAATACCATGTATTGTGTATCCACTAGCAGGATCGCTTCCACTCGTGTTGTTGAATTAATTGCTCGGCTTATCTTCTCCTTATTGGTTACGTGCATCCGCGGACGCAGGTGTGGCAATCACTGGTCAATCTGAGGTTGAACATTGTTTTTGGCTCCAAGGCCGAAGCATCGTAGGTTGATTTGATTCCCGTGAGCAGCCGTTTGTTTACAGCCCGTTTGTCATCAACTATAGTTGATCATAAGTAGCCAATACGCTGTTTTTTGTGGTTTCTACCTGTGTCTCTACCGATTGTAGTTCTGGTGTTGTGAAGGACACATTTACCACGAACTGAACACGTTGCCTCGGAGTGTCACCAGTTCAGATAGTGTTATTGTCCTAGGGGGTATAACTGCGCAAATAGGTCATCTGGGTTCTTCAGAGACTCGGCTAGGGGATACTTATGAACTTCGCTCCGATCGGATAGACAACGGCAAGCGTCTGTTGCAACTGTGCGGAGCACCAGTTTTTGCTTAGTAGCACCACTTTTAGGCGGTGTGCGCTGAAGTGCCATTTGGCATCCCCCTGTAGCTGGCCAGCGATAAACCCAAATTGATCACGTTGCCGTAAATTACAGGTGGCTTGGTTCCTTCCTGGTTTGTCACTCGTTCTGGCATACCTGCGACGACTCTGGTCAAGCTTTGGTATGCTCTCGACTTTCCATGAATTTTACAGGCAAGCGTAGCGATCGCCTCTCGATTGAAAAGACAACTTAGCGGCGTTTGTGTTGTGCGTTTCTTTGTCGTTCCTCTTTAGCTTCCGCTTCCAACAGCGATCAAAACTGTGCTATTAGCATTGTGTCACTTATCTATAGCTTTTAAGTCTACGTTGCTTAATGTCTTTTTGTATTGCGGCACATTAGCTGAGGTGTGTTTCTTATCCTCGGCCAACGTATATTAATGGTGATGATGAGTCCCCGGTCAGTCAAACCTACCAGGATACCCTGCGTACCGAACTTCGGTCTGTCGTCCTAATGACACTGAACTTCAGTGAAATGGGATCTCGGCTGCCATGTGCGACACAGGGGCCTGTGTTTGGGACGCTATCGAGCGCCCCCGCATCAGCCACTGGATATCCGAGAGGTTGCTGAATCTGTCGGAACGCAGAAGGAAATTCCAGGATGGTTTTGAAAACAACCTAAGCAAACGGACTATTTGGCGCTAACTGAAACGGAGCCAGTCTGCTAACAAAAACGCTAGTGGACCAGTTGGGCTCAAGAAATGAGGGAGACGGGCGCAGTAGGCAATTGTCGCAAGCTCTTCCAACTGAGCTGTACTACTTATCACAAGAACCCCGGCGTCAGTGAGACAATCGGATATTGCGCGTGTCTGATTTCCAACAAAGTGCGCCGTATAGCTCGTTGGTCGGAGCGCTTTCGAGTGAAATTCAGTTAGACCCCTATTCACAGACCCCTTCTTACTCAGGAGGTGCAGACTGAGCCATGTATGGCTAGTTCAGAGTCTTTAAGGGAGACTGAGGTCAAAATGCGTTCACAGGCATTACTCCTTTTCAAGCTGGTGGTCCGGATACCATTGAACCATCAATATAATTTGTGAGGTGTGATAATCTGCAAAGAGGTGACCTGCGTGTTCGAACAGGTCTGGAAGGAAGTGGCCGTTCCAGCTAACCAATGAATCGATTATAGTGGCGGTGTACAAGGAGGGCAGTCGCACCTACTTGCTAACCGCAGGATTATTAGCCCAACACCGGTGGTAGCTAAATTACTGACCTCAAGTCTCGTTCTTCGCCTCACTTGGGAACGGGGGTCCCGGGTTTGGGATGAGTAAACACGTTCGAAATACTTATGCGAAAATGCGTTATCATGCAATAGGTGAACATTCTACCCAAACATCACAGGTCCCCTCAGCGTCTACGGTGAATATCAGAAATCTCTTCGACAACAAGGGGCGTTGATCAGGGTTGACGAAATTGCCCACTTTTGTTCAATCTCCTCGTGGACTCCATCATGGCGTATTCTCTTGCGCAGTCTCATTGTGTAGGCGTTGAAGTGCTGCCTGGTGAAAAATAGTTGTGCTTGATTACTTGCATGATATTTCTTGCTGTTTAACTATATCGTAAGGTCCTAATCAACCATAAAGAGCCTCTTTAGAGTAGTCGCTCAATTTGACATGTGTTTCTTCAAAATGCAAGATATTTTTGCAGGACCACCAGCAACTTGATGGCCCCTTATCTATAGATAACCCAGAAGTCGAGGTAGATGACCAATTCACGTGCAGCAATATGCACATGACGACTGATGTTAGTTTATTTATTACCAAAATTGGAACTGCCTTCTTGAGTTTACAGCCTCTTTGTTGTTAAAAGGATGTTTCCATCGGTCTGAAATTCGACGTTTACAAGGCCGCCCTCTGTGAGAGTGAGACGCCTCCTTTGGTCTGAGGGCCTCAAGCGTCCTGAAGTCTTCTGTCATAGTTACCTGCGAATCATTGCTACTGTTGGCTGGTACTAGTGTCCGCAACATTGATGTGCCTCGGAGAATTTTAGACAGTAATTATCAGATTAGTTTCTTGGCTCAATATATATTGCTTTATAAGCTGCATATGCTTGGTTACCGCTACGGATGCACCAAAAGCTCGGCACCTGCTAGTAAGAAACTTATCATTGCGCTCTGAATCTGCCACTTGCACTGGTGGCGATTCCTGTCAATCAAGCTGTTCTGTTCGGATAACCAATTAAGACTTCGGCCTTCGTTTTGTTTGCCGGCGTATGATGGCACAAGGCTCGAGGTTGACAGAAGTTAATTTGGCAGCATGAAATGAACTCACCAACTACTAAGTAAGGTGCTGTTGAAACTCGAAACTCATATGATTGACCATGGGTTGAGCTCGAAACGCTGCATTATATGGCTCGCAGTTGGAACCGCTGGCGTATTTGCTGTCATCTGATACAGTAAAATCGTAAGTTGAACACTTAAGGGATTAGACTAAGATGGTCATTATACAGAGGTCTGGATCCATAAGGTTTGCATAGCGAACGTACATGCAATAAAAGAAAGCTTATTGAGGTGTTCAACTTCGGAGGTTTTAATGGTTACTGTTTGTTTGATGCTGATGTGTCTACTGGGTAAAAGCTGGTTAGGACGCGGGGCGCTAAAAGTCGCGAGGAAGCTCCCTTGCTGCTGCCATCTTGTCTTTACACGATAACCAACCGTGTGGCGGTATTCTGGACTAGGTGTAGTTTTTGGCCCTAAATGTTTGCATAGGGCATTTAGATGTTGTGCTGGGTCTCCTTCCCGTTTTATGATTTATTATTCCGTCTTCTGGCTGTACCTCAACGAAGCATCAGTTCAATCACTAAAGTGCTGCTGCTAGCGACGGTCATACGCTTCTTATCAGCCATCAACTGGCGGACCTCAAAACTGCTCACCCGTTGTTCCGCAATACTCTGCGTACCTCTGGCCCTAGACGGCCAATGACATAATCTCTTCAGCGCGAACTGACCACATTTCCGATCTACACAGCAACACCAGCCTTATCGCAGTGTTCTAAATGCTACTTTTGACTGCAACAATGACATTCCCACCGCCTCCGCATATGGCTGAGCCTTTTGAAAGCCAGGTGGGCTTTGCTGTTACGTCAAGTAACCTCAGTGACAAAACTATCAGGTCAAGTGATAAGAACCTCTATTTTCAGTTGCTGTTCGGGGATAGCTAGAACCGGTAGTGTTTGCCTGATCTGCTGTAGTACTATGCACTTGGAAGATGCGAAGCACATATTGAAATATGCAGCGCTACGCACTAGTATATTCCTTAGTGCTTGTATAGCCATTGGGTCCAGCCCATTGTAAACTGTTGTCTGCATACTCGAAGTCTGTCTGTCACCGGCAAAACTTCCATTCCGAGTCTGATACGAAATAGTCATTTATGATCATTTCGATCATAAAACGAAAAAAACAGAAATATGCGACGATTCTGGTGAACTTCGCCTGTCATTTGGAACTCAGTAGATACTTTCTCAAAAATCCTGACCCGGTCTCGAGAGTCTCTGTAGAGAGACTTTAGAATGGAATGGACTTTCCCTGAAAAGCTGGCATGATCAACTGGGTTGATCGCGCTTTTTCGGTCAAGAAAACCATCAAAGTCAACCTTCTGTAAGTGTTGTGCTAAGAGAGAGTGGAAAGAAGCTTTGCTCTCAACGATTCGACGCTCAAGAAGAGCTGTGAGTTATCATGAAAACATTTTGGGGTAACGGGAATAAAACCAATGTCTCCTTGGTTTTTGACAATCCTTTGTCGTTTAACAGTCGAGAATCCGTAAACGCATCTTTGGTGTCATAAATAGTTTTAAATACAGCACCAAGTCAAGTCAGCACTCAGTCAACTCCATTGTTCTACAGAGATGTGGGGATTGTCTGGACAAGCAGCCTTGTCTCGCCTCAACATAGCGAGTTCATGTCGTTTTTCTTCCAAAGCTTTAAGATTAGCAGTCACTTCTCAACGAGCTAAGGTGATTCAGCAAGCGGCAGTATTGCAGAAGGCTTTCTGAACTGTTTTTCAAAATTTTGTCCAGCGGGCCAAACGATGTCGCTGGGAACGGATATAATGCCCGTGTTTCTCAGCCATTGTCTCACTAGCCTAGGTTTTTGAACTCATTCTGCGGATAGGTTGGAACATCAATCGTCTGTTCCCAAAATAGCCCTGGCATTCTCTATCTCACAACCCTCCCACTTGCCAACAGTTCCCTCAATTCTAAGGCTAATTGTCACTCCTCGTTACAGAATGTTACGGTACGCTGAAACTAAGCATTCTACAGAACCTGTTTGGATATCTAGAATATACCGGTAGCTCGGATTGGTGGTCTTCATTGCTTTTCACATCTGCACAGTTAGATTGCAGACGTTTCGCCACCAATCGAGGTGCCATCTTCAGTACGGATTGGCAAGTAGCTTGTTAACAGGTACTGCGCTTCGAGCAAATCCAGTGATGATCCATCTTCAAGGCCATGCTCTTTGGAATCGTCCATCAGCTAGTTGGATACACGCAACTGAATGCAGTGGCTCCACTAGCTCTTCCACTTCTCCGTCCTATAGCCTCAAGGATCACAAGCCTGCCTTGTAATCCGAGAGCGCGCATTCGAGCCTGCGTAGGGATCTTGCGACCCTCGCAGTATCTTGTGCCCACGTGCGATTGGTGGTGGTTACGTGGCAGCGAAGCGTTGGTACTTTGTATCGACGTACTGGTGATGCCTGACTTTCGGTGTTTTAAGAGATTTTTTGCCAACCGATTATGTCCATTATGTAGCCTCTTTCTAGGAAACATTCATGAATCCATCAAGTTAAATTTACCAGCCAATATCATTGTATATTGTGCTTTGTTAACGGATCATCGCCGAGATAAGCGCCTTTTTCAGACCACTCATTGTAGTATCTGGGAGTTTTTTGTTAATTTCCGATTGTCTGACACTGGCGTTACTTGCCCAATGCTTTAAACATATATTTATACTGCTTCGAAGACCTGTTATCGACGAACAGCAGCACAATCCAGATTTTTCCCGAAGCGTTTACTGCATCACTCCCCTGTCAATAGTCTTTTGACCACTTAGTTGCTTTGCTACTGTCTATATCGGTAATCAGCGTTTTTAATATCAGTTTAGGTCTTGCCTCTCACTCGCCGCATTTTTGGTTCTTTGGCGAGTAAAGGTGATGAACCTACCTCAGTAAATTAACTTATCCCGCCTTTTTAGGCTTTTCTCACTAATCCATAAGGTTAACCACCGGTAGAACGTACGACTGAAATTTCGCCCCAATTGAAATCTTTTAGACGAAGTAGTTCGTTAATTGTGAGCCATTATTGCATCTCTAGGTTAACTTAATGGTTGCTATCTGCCACTGTGCTTATCAGCCCAAGGGAATACAGCTTAACAGTTTCCTGTTAGGGAACTGAGAACTCATAACGAACTAGTTCTGGCTCATTCAAACGATTTAAAGTGTGCTTATGCAGCCAACTCTAATCGAGTCAAGACGGTTGATTGACGATTCCTCGACGTACAGCCAAGTATCCTTCATGTGATACTGTTTACTGGATCTCGGCATCACATTTTTAGTGATTTTACTTGGTGCGTTCTGTGACTTTATACAAACAACCCATACAGGCATGATATTTTCTATACCCCATTTGTACTTATCGCCCCAAATTTCTACCCTCTATGCTTCTTACTCGGTACGCATTTTCGTGCGATGCGAATTTATCTGCGGGGCTTATTGAAATCTCCCTGTTAGATTGGTTTCCTACTGCTTAATTTACTTATTGCATTCTTTTGCAACTGCCGTACAACCATCCAGATTCTTTCCTTATCGAACAATGGATCTGCTGTAGCGTTGCAGACTACCTACCTCTTCAGCTGTTACAACTGGGTTATATCAACGTGTTCATTCGAGATTTCTTTCTTAGCAGTCACCAAAACGTTGGAATTTTACTGTCCACACACACTCACACACATTCATACCATGTGTTCTTATCCCAGTGGGAATCGTTGTGGCAGTGTGGTTCGCCTCTGCAGTTACGTACTCACCCCTTCTATCTGCTACTACAATATGGACGTTTCCTTTGCTAACCGTAAGCCCCTGGTTCGAAGTTGGCCACGGTTGGAGCCTCTTGTCTCCCCGAAAGACGATGAACATATTTGGCTGGATACACTTTTTGACATGGCTAGGAACCGACCGCAGTGATGTTTGTGTTGTGCGCTACTTTGTCTCCCCCCTCAAACCATGATCTCATTCCTGCATCATAATATCACTTTTTTGCGACACAACTACCATGTCCATCCGTTACTGGTGGTGCACCTGTGTTGCGTCACTTCTTTTTTTCTTCTGTACTGCGACCCAGTGACTGAAATGTTTTCACCTCTAGCTAACATGTACAAGGAAGTTCGACTGACTTAACTGTGCCCACCAATTGGAGATTTTATACCAGACCCCCACTACAGTGGACACGCGGTATTGCTTCGGTGTTTATCACAACTTTTTGCATAGCTTGAATCCGTCGATTTCGCAGAGAATAATTTCATAACCGCTTCGCTTTATGTAGCAGTCCACTGAGGTACTCATTATGTTACCTAGAACTTGTGCATTCATACTATGTATGTATGTACTCTGTGTGTTTGGCTTACCACCGCGTTTAGAAGGCTGCGAGAGAGAACGGGATGTACCGTAACAGTGTAGGCCTACATTATTATTATTATTATTATTATTGTTATTATTATTATTATTATTATTTACGACGGAACAACTTGCGTGGCTAATAGCAGCTAGACCGCTAATGTCCGTCACTGTGCATTTGTATGTGCGTTGATATAAACTATCACAAGCATTCGTTTCGGCACGGCGGATGCCTGAATGCCACCCACTTTTTGCCAGTATTTGAAAGCGTTGCGCTTGATTCTCACAATTCGCTCGCATCGTGCTGGCAGTATTTCATTTTATCTTCTTATTTGCCTAACAAACCGTTGAGAATCGTACGATAACTTTTCAGACAGATTTCCACTTTTTTCACGTCTTGTCCTGTTTCTTTTACGTCTGCTATGCAAAGTACGGTTGCATTTTAGTTATCCATCGGTTTAAATTTTCGTATAACTTGCGCACTGTGACAGGCTACTCTGAGTATATATGACGCATGCCCTGATTAGTGTCTACTCATTTATTGCTCATTCCTGTCACCGACCCAATAGTCGGTAAATCGGTTCAACTTGAGAACTTGATTTGAATCTTTAGCGAGTTTATTTGTCTTCTTGGTGATTTCTACCGAAATCACTTGATATTGAAATGTTTCAGGAAATAAAATATCCGTTCTACGTCGGCTCTTAGCTTCAAGCGCGTCCCATTTATGTTCGTCATTTTATTTGAGCATTTTGCCTTGTGTGTGTACGACTTCAGGTTTGCACAGTGTACATCAGTCGAGAATTAAAAGTGTGGCCACGTCCTGTGGTTTTGACCAAGGTAGCGGACTTGTTTTCCTATCGATAACGACTTCCTTTACTCATTAGGCCCATTGTTTACCATTACCTTGGTTCGTTTTCGTCTGATGTTTATCGATGTACCCATGTACCTATAAGTATGTGTTTGTGATTATCTGCAGCGGAGGTGTTAAGCGACCTGCTGAGAATCCGCAACCAGTGCAAATTGCTAAGAAGAAGCCGTCGAAATCGGATATCACGTTGAATACGCTCGTTGTCAAAAAGGCCGCTGAGAGTCGATCAGGACAGTTCAATGGTAATTCTTCCTATGTTCATTTTCTTTGGTGTTATGCGTATATCATCATCGGCTCCACGTCAGTGGTTGCTGGGACCACGGCCACCACCACAACATCAACATGAGAATCAGCACTGCCGCAGTGTCGTGCCAGAGGTTCTCTTCTCTAGAGCTGTGATACTCGTACCACGTAGAAATGGGGCGCGAAATCACATACAAGGAGTTGGTCCTGTAGCTTTATCTAAGTAGTCTTTGTGAAGCGAGTGTTCATGTAGCTGCTTCTCTTACTTTCCTATCTGTTGAAACTTGTTCCAGTGCTTCTTGGCTGCTCATTAGTCCGCCTGGAGGGGACAGAAACTTCGTCTTTGCCGCCCGTCTTATCTCGATATTTTCGTGACTGTTGCAAACGTTGTACCCGCTCTTCATAAGTATTGCAACATTGCTCAGTCAGTTCAGTTCATCCGAGCGTCGAAGTGCTTTGTGTTCAGTTGTCATAACTCTCGCTACTTCATTACTTAAGCAAGATGTAACCACAAAAGCGAACATGCTATTGAGCGCAATGACATTGAGGGTGCCCGGAAGAAAGGATGCGGAATTTTCTAAAGTGTAGTACACAGCTAGGTAGAAGCAACCATATGTAAGAGACGGTTAAATTCGCGAATACGTCACTTAGTCAGAGCCTGCTGATGCACGTTATCCTTTAAAAGTGGTTTGTTGTTATTAAAATGTTCAGTTTTACACTCTGCATCACACACCCATATTTTTTGCTTCTTTTGCTGAATCTGCGATCACGGCACCTATTTCATAACCAAGATACCGAGCTTACTTGATGTTACTTACTTTTACATCAAACAGACTAGTGCTCATCAGCCACGCGGCGCGGTTTTACTTCTTTGCCTTCTCCAACATATTTTCATGATTTCTGGTTTATTTTGCTCCTAGCTTCCACCAGCGGCGATACCGTCTCTTGCTCTAGTGTTTGCTCCAAAACGGAACCCACTTCAATTACTGTGGTATCCAACTCAGCGGCCAAAGGGAGCTCCAAGGATGCAACCGCCGATGTGCTAACATCTGTTCCCTCAATGATTGCGAGATCTTGTGAACCCTCGCCTTCCCCAGGCGGCCTAATGCTTAACGCGGTCAGTTTGCATCGCTTTCCTCGGTATCCCTAGTCTATTCCGCCCATTTTCACGCAGACAAGTAGGCATGCTTTCCCGGACAAATTAGTTTTCTTTCAAACTGATTTTTGTTGAGGTGGTTCAATGTAAAATATTAAAAAATATCTCCATCTTCTCGCTGTTTCGCTATGCTAGGCTCCCGTACAGTCTTGATTTCGCATCACCACTCTCCATGTTTCATAAACATTAGCGAAGTTTCTGTCACTGTACTTTATATTTTGACAACTATCATTGCATGGTGTTGTGTTTTTTAGTCAGCATCACATTTTTGTTAGTCTCTTTTGCGTGTAGACCTCTTCGCGCTGTTCGTTATTCGGTTTTCGGGATTAGCAGACCAGACTATCATTTCACCCAACACATACTTCACGCAACTCTCTTTACAGTCAGATTTTCCCAAGCCCAGCCTCTATATTTACACCTCGAGCACTTATCAAGTATTCTTACAGCGATTGCTGTTTGCAATGCGATGGACGCGTTTTATTTGTTTGCTTTCAATGATTTTCTCAATTATTCGTTGCTGCCGACTCTTCAAATGCTTATTTTGGCTCATACCGTACCAAAAATGTGTCATCATGAAATTGTCCCGAAAAGTGCTATCAAACAGCTACGTAAAATAAATACATAAATAAATATCTAGTCATCCGCAGCCGTTTGAATGAACGCTTCGCTGCGGTACAACCACGGTGCCCGACGGAACGATGGAAGTGTAAAACCTTCATATTTAAAGCAAAGATTCAGGGTTAATGCACCTACAGCTTATCAACAACATACTGTCACAAACAGTTGGCTTTCATGCGAAGAGAAGGCGACATCGGCGAGACACCTTCCTTGCAGCTTCCACCATCCCGCATTATAATCATCCACTACCTCGCGGATAACTCAGCATCAAACACACTAAACAGGCGGTCTAGTTATGAGACGATAACCGACGCGACGCCGGTACCGACTGCGAGCCATGTCCTGTAACATCTTGAACCCATCAAATAGCCGACCACGTGGACTCCAGTGTGGAAAGCGAGACGGACCAACTGCACCCAGTTTTGCAGTCAGTGACTTCATTTCTCTCTGCGCACTCGCAGCCTTGCGCCACCCTACACCTGGCAAACAAAACAAGACCCTCCTCAGTAAGCGGTGATCAGATATACGTAGTACCTGGACAAGCCAGCACAACTTATACATTGCTATCTGTTGTTCTAAGGTCATAGCGACAAGACTGAACCTTAACGTGATGGTGGTTTGTGTGCCTCGATGATCTATTGAGCTATGCTCGATAGTGCTTTTTGCAACTTCAGAGCCGTTCATACCAGATCAATCAATGGTTAGAGACCAGACATGCTCAGTCTCCTGGCCATCCAAGTAGGAAGTTGGAGTGAGGGTGGATCCTTACTTCATAAAACGGACTCTCTGTCGCCCAGTGCCAAAACCCCGCTGCTTTGCTGCCAGGTTTTTGAACCAAAGGCTTTGGTTAAGAACTCTACTCGTTCTCCTGTCTAGGGCTGGGCAAGTTGAAAGTATCCTGTTCACCCAATACAACGCAATGAATTCCCTTTAAACAATCCTTTGATGCTCTGACCGTCGTTGGGGATAATAAACGGCGCCCTATCTGCTGCATCAAGCAGGGTGGATAGGGGTTTGGAAGCTACTGCTCAAGCGTTCCCATCTTCTTATTCCTCTGCTTGTGCTTTTTCATCTTTATCGTCCTGTTCCAACTTCGCTTTTATTCCCCGTTTTTTATCCCCAAATACTTGGTTCTCCCCCATCTTGCTTCAATAGTCGCTTGTCTTTTAGTTTCAACTCACACACAATCACAGGGCGTCACATCAGTCCAGTCAACAAGTCCATGTTCAAACAAGCGGACAACGTCAGTTAATCCGTTTCCTTTTGGTGTCTTCTATCCTCGCTAAGATTGGTATGCCTCAACGTGCGCACTTCACTACGGATTGGCCAATAGGCAGGACTTGTCCGAACATTAAAGACCATATCGATAGATATTTGCTGTTTATCGGAAACACGCCTGCAAGATGCGAGTTTCGTGATTACCCTGCGGTCCCCCCACATGCGACACCGGCTGCACATTCTCATTACGGCTGTCTGGAGATGCCAAAGCTTCCTTTGCTGGTCAAGCTGGCATGGTCATTGTTTTGAGTCCCCGGGCTGAAGATGCCCTGATCGATTGGATTCTATTCAGCGATCGGATGTGCACCGTTAGGTTGGCTGGCTCGTTCCAAGCTTTGAAGTCGCGCGGGAACAAACTGTGACTGTCATTGAGGCCTACGCGCCCACAGACTGCAGCACTGATTCGGTGCATGTTGATTGCTATCACCAACTTAACGATCTTCTTCGTCACAGAAAAAGTACGGATGAGGGTATGCGGGTGTTCTCCGAGCTGGCTGATTTGGCTTCAAACGTTTCATCGTCAGGCTAGACGACATCTTCAGTGCAATTTATGCGGGCCACTTACAGTTCCAAGTGATTATTGATCACTTACGTCAGCAGTCGATTGGTCCACGTGAGCTGACCGTGTAGTCAGCTCTTGCGTACTTTTGGCTAGCGTCCGCCTCAATGATGTTCCTTTGTCCTGTTGATCTGAGACAGAGTATCGATTTGAGCATCAATGCTTCATAGGCAGTATCTAGATCTAAATGTCTCTTGATTGAGTTTTTCCCCGAGTACCAAGCCTTGATGAACTCGCGTGATTTTCGAATTTTTGCCCTGCCAATGATCCTGACATTCTATAAATCAAACTGATGATTCTCGGCGTCCATATGTACCGACATCAGGGAGTTTCGGTCATGTCGGCGCATGGCTAGGCTATCCTCATGTAGTCTAGTGCCGAGCTTCCTTCCCGTTTGGCCCATATAGTATTTGTTACAATTTTTGCAGTGGATTTCGTAAATCACACCACTTGTTTCTTCTATGCGAAGCCGGTCCTTGTCATTGAAGAGGTTGTCTTGAATTGTTGCTGTCGGCTTTTGAGCAACTCTGATTCCGAAAGGTAGTAACAGTCTCGCCGCCATCTCAGAAACGCCGTTGATGTATGGTTGAATGATTGTCCTTTTATCCGTTTCTGATATTTGTTCATGCGGATACCATGCTGCTTGCTGGTGAGCTGAATGCCCAAATCAGAAAAATGTCCAATACTGAGTTGTAGCCAACATGGTGTAGACTCTCGTAATGATAACGCTGAACGGTTGCTACACCTGTGTGAAAATATTCGTCTCTTTTACGTGGGCATTAATTTTCGCCACAGCACCCGCAGAAGAGTGACTTGGCGCCCACCAGCCTTGGACCACCCGTGAACGCAACAGCCACATTGCGATCAGTTGCCGCTGGAGTGGGTGAGTCAAAAACTCTTGCTTGATTTGGAGCACGAGCGTCGACTCCGATCACGCTCTTGTGGGTGCGTTTCGGCGGACGTCTGCAACGTCGCTGTGACCGCATAAACACCAGCCAACTGGAGAAGCAAGGTGTTCTGAGTGCGTATCGAAATACGCTGGTATGCGGGATGAGCTAGCACCCACTGAACACCGTTGAAGATCGCTGGTCGCATATTCGCTAGTTGCTACTATCAACAGACATGTTTTCATTTGACCAATCACATTGTTAATCTTTACATTGTGTCTTTACACAGTCTCTGGAGCTTATTACTTCAAAGAACCGCATATCTTCTAATCTTCTTACCTGTAGATTGGACTCGCAGTCTGCGGTTCAACAATATCCTAACGAACTGGCCCAGCAGTTGTCAGTGATGAATGAGGTTGATGAGCCGAACTGTGACTGGGATCGTCTCCAGTAGACCATGAAGAATGCCTTTGATGCTTGCTGTGCACTCAACTTGAGACCTCGTAACGGTGAATGGATCTCTTAGGCATCAATCAGTTTGATCGAAACGCATAAGCGGGTTCCGATGGGCACAGTTGCAGTGTATCTGTGACTCCTTGTAACGATGTCTAACAAGGAGTCTTGTAGTTGACCGACAACATTGGTGGATCGCAAAGGCCCGTGATATAGAGAAAGCCTGCGCACTTGGAAACAGCCGAGTACTATTCCCAGCTCATCCGGAACACAGGCCAGAGAAAGCCATCCGTTAGCGAAGCAGTAGCTGAAAAAGATGGACTGTTGATCCATTCTCAGCGTCGTCGACTAACTGGTTAGGCGAAACATTTTGAAGAGCTGTTCACATGCCTATTGCGACACTGCCGCTTGCCGATTCCACTTTGGAAGAGATTCGACACGAGCTCGCCGTGTTAACATGAAACAAGGCTCTTGGACCCGACGACCTCACCCCATCTTTGCTGAAAAGTAGTAGTGACTTTGTTGACTTGACTTGATTCTCTTTTTAACACGATTGGGGACACTGGAGAAGTGCCTTCAGACTGGCGACTATCAACTATCGCACCCATTTTCATCAGGGGTCAGCGTACTTTGGACGAAAATCATCATCCTCGAAGCTTCTCATGGGTATCATACTTCGACGACTTCCTGGTCCCCGTGAGGACGGAATCACTGAAAGCTAGGCTGGCTTCCGCCCTGGCCGTGCATGGACCACATATTTACTCTTCGCCAAGTTTTAGAGCAGAGACACCCATACAGACTACCGACTATGGTGATTTTCACTGACTTGAAAGCCACCGACTCTGTCGACTGCTCTAGTTTGTGGCACTGCCTATCCATGAAGGAATTTACTCCTTTCCATTCTACCGTGATCCCTGAAGCCGTGTAAGGGTCTACGGGAAACTGTCCCCTGAGTTCCTCTCGACAAGTGGGGTTCACCAGGGTTGTCATACATCTCCTTTCCTCCTCCACTTTGATCGAAATGATCGTGAATAACTCGGTTCTTTCAGACTATTCTGGGGTGGATGTTCTTCCACGCGTCCGACTGACAAACCTGAAGTATGCGGACGACTTAGTTCTCCTCGGATCTGACGCATTGGTTATGCAAACACTATGCTCAGACTTGT